ACCACCTGTACTTACCTACTAGTTTGAAAAATATCCGTGAAATGCGGATCAAAGCGTTAACACTTATCTGCTACTCGACCGCTCACTTATATTGTGGTGCATAAAAATATAAAGCTGTTGTGCTGTTTTTCAAACAGATTCCATTATGCCAGATTGATGTATGAATCTGTATGAATGGTAGTCAGAGTGTCCTTGCGACGCTTCCCCTTGAATTAGTGGCACTGCATCGACAGTTAGCTGTTATACGTATGAGGCTATGGTAGGGGCTAAAGGAAGCACGTCTCCTGCGGTATTTCCATCTTTCATCATCGCCGCCCTTCACAACGAGGATACTCAGATGACCTTCCGCAGAGCCGGTATCATGCATATATATGTATACTTTGATGTTTATCTCATTTATTGAAATGTCTGTTAATCAGTGCACCCTCAAAGAATCTCCATTTTTTACCCTCAGCAACCCCATATGAGAAAACACGCAACAGTATCAAAAGTACAGGATCGCATTATAGTGTGAAGTAAGGTACAGAATGTGCTTCGTAGCCATTACGATAGCATAGAAGAATGTCACGAACCCAGAAACGGTCGTCCAGCAAGATGTTCGCAGTGTAGGTTGACAGAGTTGCATGACCATCTAAAGCAAAGATATCTGAGAGAGGGAAGTGTGATTATAGATGATAAGGAAATATCAGACACGCTGTCTGTATTAAATTGATAGTAAGCACCTTTCAGATTGTTTTCGTTGTGCCGCTCTTTTTTTTGAAAGGAAGAAGATGAGTTTTTGGGTATGCATGACGGAAGAACCGAACTATAATACGTAGAGAATATTATGGAATGGAACATTCTGAATTACAACCTGATTCCGCTTTATCATCAATATTCATATAATTGATTTCTCAGCGAGCAGCAGCGAATTTATTCTTCTCACAGAAATGAGTCACGCAGTGAGCAGCTTCCACTCACAGCTTACCAGTTAATAGGATCCAAGAAATCGGTCATTCCAGTAGTCAGTAATACAACAGATAATTTTCTTGTTGCATGTTTACAGTACCTTTAGCTCTGCATTATGATTACACGATTAAATTATGACTCCTGTTTATTAGATTTTCTCATCTTCATCTAACCACAGGACAGAAGTTTATCGCAGTAGGATTAGAGGAATCTTTCCTTCTTCATTACGCAAATAAACAACGTTGGATAAGCAGCAGACCATGGCTGACTTGCCTCCTTGGTAACTGTGGCCTGGATATGGATAGTCTCAACTGGTGTGTAAAAAAATTCATTAATGTGATGCTGACCTTTCGAGATAGATTCTCGGAAGAGAAGGCTGAGATCATTGTACAATACCAAAACTACATCTATATAGAGTACCGACATAGTCTAACTACTGGCAGCTTTTTTTCTTATTTCTAAAATAGCAATTTTCACTATCCTCATGTTGAATGTCTTGTTCACATTTTCTTTCACATGCCAGCCGATCAAAGGAAGTTGCTGCAGTAGAAGTTATTTAAAGCATGCGTACCAGCTTAGTTCCTGGATTTCTGTCACGTCCTCTAGATGAAGGTTACCTGACTGCAACCACCTTCCACATCTAGCATGCAGAACTGCACATTTGCCTAGACCGAGTTTCATTCCGACTGACCTGCTAAAGGCACATACCTGCTCGACTATGCATTCCAATTCTTTACCATTTCCGGCGTCCAGTTTCACATCATAATCTTCATCTTCCATGACCCCTTCTCCTTTCGGCTCGCAGAGGCAGACTGTGCTTCTAACGTTCCCGATCCTGTGCCAGACTTTGAGCTTCGGCAGAAAACTCCTTCCATATATTGGCACGAGGTTAATCTTGGCCGTCCCCTGGGTCTTCTGCCGGTAGGCTGGGCAAGTATTAGTTGCGCCTTCTTTCCTGCAGGCATTCACAGCACATGCCCAACTATCGTAGCTGTGACTTCTCAATCGAAAAAAGCAGCGGCTGAGTTTAACATCATCCATCCATGTAAAAAAAAGAAAAAAATATGACAGAGCCTCGCGTTGTTTCTCTTCTCGATAACGTAGACATATTTTGATTTGTTCAACAGTTTAATAAGTGAGTTAAATACAAAGTAGAACCAAGAGCACTGAAACGACAACATTGATGATGCCCTTTCTGATCAGAAAAGTTTCGATCTCGTATTGATATGAACCGCTTCCAATTGCGATCTCCGCATTTTCATGAGATTGCGATCTCCACTGAGGATATTCTCATTTGCTTTGCCTTTGTCTAGCTTGAGTTAGCCTAGCGGAGCGAAACGCCTCGGTAATATACTGTTGTACCATCTGCTGTTAGGTGCCCTGAACCATGAATCGTTCAACTTATCTATTTTGTTAGGCTGTGTAGCAGTCATTTCATTTGTCAGCAAGTGCGTTGCTCCTTCAGTTAGGACGCTGGGCGCGAGACTGAGATATCATAATATTACTTAAGGCGGAGATGCGTCACCCCACATCCAGATAACGTCTGCGACCACAGCTGGGTTGCTACCGTAAC